CGAGGCGAGGTGGGCCTGTGACAAACTGGCATGCTTCCGTTTGTTGTCTGTGGGTGGCTGACGGGGGCTATTTTGTAGTTTGCTCCTCCTTTCCTGTCAAACATCTCTAGTCTATAGTCATTATCTTTCCTCCTGCTTTTCTGGATTTGTTACACATGTATGTATCAATTGCGGAGTCATGTGTAATAATGTCTGGATGTTTGGGCCAAAGGCCTCTAAAATTAATTAAATCGTCTTGAAATCTGAAATCTCTTTTTTTTCTAGGAGTGTCACTCTTTAGTAGCATCTCTAATCTTCGACACTTACATGACCTTGTTGGGTTGCAAAGGCCGTTAAAGTGTTACTAAAACAGAGACAAAGTTTGCAGTGCTGTCTTTTACTTACCGAGTGTACAGGTTCCGGTGTATACGTTTAAAGAATAATTATTTATTTGTATTAGCAAATTAGAAAAACACGTCTGAACATAACAATTTGCTTGAAAGTTTTTCCAAAGCTTTTCTGATAGTTGTTTTCTTCTGCCATAGAAGGTAAGTTGTTGTTTTTTAATGTGCATAAGAGCGTCGTTTTTTATTACCTCAGATGTAAGAGATACACCAACTTGGCCCCAGGCTGCTATCTAGTGGACGATTTCGCCAATCCGTGCTGTCAGATCCCGCGCTGTGACGCCTCGCCAAACACGCAGCCGACCATTTCACCCAACCAGAACCCAGGGTCAACGAGGACACCCGGGAATAAAGGTAAGGACCGCTTATTTGGCTTGTATCAGTGGGGTGTGGGTTGGATGGGGGTGGGAGTTTTATTATTGGGGTGGGGGGGGGGGGAGGGGGTGGTTTTGCCTGTTTGTTTGTTTGGTGTTTTTTGCTTTTATTTGCTGTTTGTTATCAATAATTGTATTTTGAATGTTTATGTTGGGGTTTTTTTAATTGGGTCTATTTAGTTAGTTTCCTTTATTCTTTTATCATTCTTTTATTAATTCATTCATTCATTTTTAGGCTGTTGGTTTGTTGTTTGATATTTTTTAGGGGGGGGGGGGGGCAATTTTTATTTGTAGTGGTACACGGTCTAAAGAGACAGCACAATACAGGTTGTTTTCGAAGATGGGACATCACGGAGATAAAAGAAAGGATGAAGAAAGGGGAGGTTGAGGGTGGAGGGAAAAGACTGGCAAGAACACCTTTGTGTTTAGACGTCCATGAACAAGTCGCTGCAGCGTCCGCTGTATCGATGGCACCATTATTTTTCTAAGAGCATTATTATTGTGCTCTCTCTCTTGCTCGCTCGCTCTCTCTCTCTCTCTCTCTCTATCTCTCTCTCTCTCTCTCTCTCTCTCTCTCTCTCTCTTTGTGTGCTCATTAAACTTTATTCCGACGTTATTCTTTTCTAAACCGGATTCTTAGCGAAATACCAGCATCTATCGGGAAATGGTTATAGTAAAATTTTAACACTTTGCTATTACACGCAGAAAATGGCAGTTCCATTCCCAAAAGGAGATAGAAGACATTAAATGTATCTAGCATCTCCGTCTGTCTGCCTGAATACTGTATCGCTATTTATACTAAATTAATATCCTAGACCGTGCACTATGACGTAATTTTGGTTCTCTAAAAAGCCCACCATTTGACTAAATTTGGAACCAAATGAGGGGAAAGAGGGGAAAGGTGCTAGGCCTGTGCGCATTTTATTACAACAAGACTGTTTTGTTGTTTTGTTTGGTTTGGTTTGGGGGGGGGGGATGGGGGGGGGCGGTACCCTTCATTTTGGCGCCAATGATGTACTCGCTTCGCATATCTAGGATATAGTCTAGAAATATACAACTAGAATTATTCACTCGCAATTGTGAGGGAAAGGGGGATTGTGTCCGTAAAACATCAAAATTATTTTTTAAGCGGTCTCTTTTTGTTATTTTGAACAAGCTTACTCTAACAGAAGCTACTACACTAACGCATATTTTTTATAACTTACCAATATTCGGCACTAAATCAGAGCACGGGACACCCAAAAAATCCAAAACAACAACAGCAAACAAACTTGCCTATTCTTCATAAGCTTTTAACGGTATTATAGTTGTTCTGTGCCTATGTCTGATTGAAAATAATCCGCGCGTGTGTGTGTGTGTGTGTGTGTGTGTGTGTGTGTGTGTGTGTGTGTGTGTGTGTGTGTGTGTGTGTGTGTGTGTGTGTGTGTGTGTGTGTGTGTGAAATGGTATGAGTTTAACGCCCCTATCAACACTATTAGGTTATTTAAGAGGCGGGACCTCCTAATTTAACGTCCGTCTCCGATAGGACCGAGCCAAGTGGGAAGTTCGTGTGAAGTGCCTTTCCCAAGGACACAACGTCGGACCGAGCTGAGGCTCGAACCCCCGAACCCGCAATCTCACGATTACGAGTCGGGTAGCTTAACCACTAGGCTATCGACGCCATGTGTGTGTGTGTGTGTGTGTGTGTGTGTGTGTGTGTGTGTGTGTGTGTCTGTGTGTGTGTGTTTGTGTGTGTGTGTGTGTGTGAGAGAGAGAGAGAGAGAGAGAGAGAGAGAGTGTGTGTGTGTGTGTGTGTGTGTGTGTGTGTGTGTGTGTGTGTGTGTGTGTGTGTGTTTGCATTTTTATATATTGCATGAGAAGAAAGGAAGTATTAAGAAAGATTTTTTTGAAAATAGGTATTCCAATGTAAAGCGCATTGAGCTACTTTTTGGAAATTCGCTTTATAAATGTTATATATTATTATTATTATTATTATTATTATTATTATTATTATTATTATTATTATTATTATTATTATCATCAGTATTATTATCTGTGACTCACTTTTATCTACTCTCTCTCTCTCTCTCTCTCTCTCTCTCTCTCTCTCTCTCTCTCTCTCTCTCTCTCTCTCTCTCTCTCTCTCTCTCTCTCGTGTCCCCAGCGTTCTGTGTGTACAACGGCGTGCAGTACACGTGGGGCCAGCAGTGGGTGGACGGCTGCGACAAGAAGTGTCAGTGTGACAACGCCGACACTGGATCGTACTCTTGTACCGAGAGGTCAGTTCTTTGGTATCAGTAAAAGTAGACTTTGGTCGCCTACCATTCCTCGATGCTTAGCGGCAACAGAGGATGAAAAAGTAAAAAAGTAAAGTACCATTCGTAACTACACATATCCGGGGCTCGTTATTGTCTTTGTGTGAGGAAGGGGGGAGGGGGCGTAATTGTGCTGCTGTTAAGTCAACTATTTTACTAAGGGCGGGGTCGAAAGTTACTTTAATCCAGTTATCTTACCTAAAAGTATGTTTAATCATCACACTGCTCTTATTCGGCACTTATATGACCTTATTGTGTTGCAAGTGCCGTGCGTAAAACTCTTATCCAAAAAAAAACACCAAAAAAAACCACTGCTCTTACTGAAACGTTATAATAGGACTATACAACAGGTCTGGGAGTACTTGAGATTAGAGTATTATTTTTTTTAAGTTGTCGACAGTCTTGGGGCCAATAGTGGATGGACGGGTGCGACAAAAATTGTCAGTGTGACAACGCCGACACTGGATCCTACTCTTGTACCAAGAGGTCAGTTATTTGGTAACAGTAATACTGTCCACTGTGGACGGGATCGGCCGATTGGGCCGATCATCCGACTCAGTCGCCTCAAAAGCAAACGTGTTTTACAGGGGGCCCACTACGGACGGGATCGGCCGATCGGGCCGATCGCCTGACTCGATCACCTGACTCGATCGACTGACTCGGTCGCCTGACTCGATCACCTGACTCGATCGACTGACTCGGTCGCCTGACTCGATCGCCTCAAAAACAAACGTGTTTGTTTTCAGTTTCAGGCGATGGAGTCAGGCGATCGGCCCGATCCAGCCGTAGCGGGCACCCCGTATAAAAGTAAACTTGGGTCGCCTACAATTCGTAACTACACATATCCGGGGATCTTTACTGTCTGTGTGTGTGGGGGGGGGGGGGGGGGGGCATAATTGTGCCGCTGTTAAGTCAAGCGCAAACACAATTTTGACAAAGGGTGGGGGGCGGGGTGGGGTCGAAACTTATTTTAACCTTGTTATCTTATCCAAGAGTTGTCAGTGTAATGACGCTGACACTGCCCCCCCCCCTTCCTTCTGCTTTTGATTGAGTAGGTGTTTTACGGCACTATCGACTCACTTTTGGTTATGCAAGTGCCATTCCTTTTGCTTTTTGTTCGTTAACTTTTATGACCCACAACACACAACCGTGGCCTTCACTGTCTGTAGGACCAGAGTGTGTACTTTTGAGTACTATAGTGCATTCCAAAATTCGAGGCGCATCGTAATGTCAAATATTTCCTCACCCATCGAACATGCAGTACCCAACTTTTGCACAATGACTTGTATCAATTTGTCTTAACAGGTCAAATTTTTTAAACATAATATGTTAGTTGTATTCTTGAAAATTCCTCAATAAATACAATTTAAAAATCCCAGTGGGTGGCTTCTACATGTTTTAAAGGTTTGGGGACGAGACAATATCGCTTTCAAAAGCAAGTCCGTCATATTTTTTCTAATCCCGACAGTGTGTTTATTGAACGCATGTTTTGAGAATCTGTAGGGCAAAAACAAGTGTTCACTATAAAATTAATTACTTGTAACAAGTGTTGCCACTAAAAAGTGTTATTGGTGAGCTGTGACGTAGGCAATGCGTATGCAAAATGTGTGTGAGAAGCGGGAAGTGCTGCGACCAAACCAATTTTTTGACCGCACTATAGTTTGATGTTATTGAGAAAGCGGGGGGAGGGAAAAGTTTCTGTGTGTGTGTGTGTGCATGCGTATGCATGTATGTGAATGTGTATGTGTGGGTGTGTATGTGTATAAATATGTTCAGAGAGAAAGGGATAGAGAGAGAGAGAGAGAGAGGGGAGAGAGAGACAGAGAGAGAGAGAGAGAGAGAGAGAGAGAGAGGGAGGGGGGATGTGTGTTGGAACAGTTGTCAGTCTGGAAATATGAGATACCTCTAACACTCAACTGTGTGGGTTTTTAGTTCTTAGGTAGTATCAT